ACACAAATAAAACAAAGATTTCAGTCACAATTCTATCCCTTTGAAAACCTCGTTATTGATGAGAGTATGATATTATTTAAGGGAAGACTCCTTTTTAAACAATACATAAAAACCAAACGCCACCGTTTTGGTATAAAACTTTATGTTATATGTGACTGCGAGACTGGTTTTGTTCTGGATTTTATTGTTTATGTTGGGAAGAATACATATTCTACCGAAGAAACTATCAAAGGCTTGGGTGCCACTGGAAATGTTGTGGCTCAGCTTATGAAACCATATCTAAACAAAGGCCACTCACTGTTTACTGACAATTTTTATAGCAGTCTAATCTTGTCACATTATTTGTATGAACATAAAACAAATTCTTGTGGGACTGTTAGATCTAAAAGGCTTCACATGCCTTCTTTGCAGGAAAAATTGAAAAAGGGTGAAGTAGATTGGAGAAATTCTGACATTTGCTTGGTGTTTAAATGGAAAGACAGAAGAGATGTTATGATGATAACAACAATGCATGAAAATAAAATGATTGTTCTTGACAAAATTGATCCTACTACTAAAGAACCAGTAAGGAAACCAGATTGTGTTATTGAGTACAATAAACAAATGGGGTCAGTCGACCGCTCTGACATGATGATAAGTAGCATTGATTGCATGAGGAAGACCACAAAATGGTACAAAAAATTATTTTTTCACACAGTAGATATCTGTGTACTAAATGCCCACGCTATGTTATTGACAAACCAGACTATGCCAATGCCGCTTGCCAAATTTCAACTGAGTCTTATACATCAGATTTTTAGAAGGTAAGTTTTTGTTTCTCTGTCGTTATTTACATATATTATAGCTTTTTTTAATTTCAGATATGAATATCAAGTGAAAAATCCCAGATCCATGTCAGCGGATATATCCAGATTAAAGGAAAAGCATTTTCCTTCATTTGTTCCAGCAACCGAAAGGACAAAAACTGCCTCCAGAAGATGTGTTGTGTGTTCGCATACAAAAGAAACGGACAAAAAACGCAAGGTATCGAGATACATGTGTAAAGAATGTGATGTAGGTTTGTGTGTAGTTCCATGCTTCGAGATATACCATACTAAAGAAAATTTTTAAAAAAATTGCACTTTTCTACCAAAAAATTTTAAAAAAAATGTTTTTTTACCGTTTTTTAATAAAAGCTATATATAAAACATTCCCTACATTAAAAAATATGCATGTCTTTACTCAATAAACAGTTATTAAACAACGTGTTAATTTTTTTATTCTGACTGATATATGTGCCATCCGTCCACAAGGCACGCTAAAAACTGCCGTCTGTGTGGCATTTCAAGGGCAAATAGGTGCCGTCCTGAAAGGGTTAAACAAAATATTAAGTTAATATGTAATACCGCCAAACTAATTAGGCTCAACCGAATTATGATGACGTACACAGTGGCTCAGGTACAGATACAACGTGAGATGACAGATCCTTTTTAAATAACACAAGGATTAAAACAATGTGATGAGCAGGCACCAACACTGTTTCATTAAGCACTGAAATATGAAGTTAGAAAAACAGGATATAGAAACAACGCCATTATGAATAAATCAGACCAACTGACAACATATGCAAATTACATAAATATCATGTGCAGAACCAAAGCAACAATCGAGAATGCGTGTACGGATACGGAACTTAAATAACATACTAAACAAACAGGGTCTCTCAATAAACACAAAAAATACTAAAATCCTTCGTAGAGATCAATACGACCCGTCCTGACAGTTGAAAAATTAGATAGCTTTATCTATTTACGAGTCAACATCCCAAAGAGCAACATTGAGGATGTAGAGCTTAGCAGAAGAATCATCATAGCCAATACGGCACACTTTGATATGAACTAGATATTTAAATTGCAAAACGTACATAAGGATACGAATCTACAGCCATAATCCGACCGATAGTGCGCTATGAATGTGATACTTGGATATTGATTCAAAAATCGGTAAACCGTATGGACATCTCAGAAAAAAAGGTTCTGCGGCGAATTAATACCAGATCCTATAAATGAGAAAAACACGTGAAGAATCAGATACAATTATAAAATATATAATATATAAATATAAACAACGATCTTTATATCAGTAAGTCCGACAACAGCGTCTTCAATGGGCAGGCCATGTATTTAGGATGGAAGAAAACAGGCTTCCAAAAAACTGTTAAATGCAAGAATGCAGGAGAAGAGATCTATTGGAAGACCGATGAAGCAGTGAGAGTATGATGTCGACGAGGACGCAAGAATTAGCCGTCGATCGAAAGGAGAATGACTACAGACCTAACAAATGGAGAGGTTTGCTGAGGGATGCCAAGGGTCAAATTGGGTTGTAGTGCCATAGGGTAGTGGGTGGATTATATCCTTTACTCAAGAGGATTATACAACGTTAATTAATATAAAATTAGTTCTTTGTTTCAATTTTCACAAATATATTGCGAAATTGATGTATAAGGTTATTATTACATCCGTATTTAAAGAGAGCAGCGGGTATTCCGTCGATTGCTGGTGACCTGTTGTTCTTGACAAATTTGATTTCCTCTACCTTCATCACTTAAGGAGGTTCTACGTGGTGTTGTTTCATATTATTTCATGTCGTATCATATTTCACTCTGGTGCAGAGTAATTCTCTGAACTAACATAATTGTATTTAATATTATATCCTTTGTACTAAGAATATGTCTAATATCCCTAGTTTTCGTCATGATTTGAATTCTTTTTCTGTCACTTTAATAGGTGTTAAACTTTCTGTTGCTGCTACATTAGAATGTGTTAAATCAGATACTAAAGCCCTTAATTTGCAATCTCACATTAATCTTAACTTCCTAATTTTACTTATATAATTGTGAAAGATATCTAAAATTTAATTTAATTGCGTTCCGGTAAAATTAGATCAACTGGGAAATAGTGTGTAAATATTTTCATAGTGGGAATATGTTGTAGCAGTACCGTCAAGGTACAAGTTACAAGGTATAGGGTGATACTGTGATACCCCTTCAGCATAAAAGAACTGATTAAAGAACTAAAATTCACTAAAAAATGAGAAAACCAAAGGAGTCGATGATATACGTGTGGATCAAATTAAACATTTTGGCACCGTGGCAAAAAGCTGGATCCTATGTTTGTTCGATATCTGCCGAACGACATTCCAAATACCTAAACTACATAGGAAACCAAAAGTCATAGCTATACTAAGACCCCGGAAAACCCCAGAAACGCCAAAGAGTTATCACCCTATATCACTTATTCGCCACCTTTAGATCAGGTAAATCATGCACAGGCCAAGTGCTGAACCTAACAGAATACATAGAGGAGGGATTTGAGCAGAAAGAGATAGTAGGAGTAGCCTTGATAGACCTCACAGCGGCCTATGATACGATAAACCACAGAACCTTGCTAACTAAGATCTATAACACTGTGCTTGACTATGACCTGGTAAATAGACGCTTCTACGTTGTGCTAAATGGAAAGAAGAGTAGATGGAGAACCCAAAAAAATGGCCTACCTCAAGGAAGCGTTCTGGCGCCGTCCTTATTTAACATCTACACCAACGACCAACCAATGCACCCTCAGACTGAGAGTTTTGTTTATGCTGACGACCTTGGTATAGTCGTAAAGGGGAAAACACCCACACAAGTGTAGTCGACAATGGAAGATGCTTTAAACATGTCAACTTACTAGAAACAAAACTCATTAAAGCCAAACCCTAGTAAAACCCTCTACGAGAAACCACTTTCTCCGGAAACTTGTAGGGAGCAAGTGGGGTGCAAACCCCCAAGTCTTGAAGTCAACAGCTGAGGCTTTATGTTTCTGAACAGGGGAATATGCTTGTCCCGTCTGGGGTAGATCTAGACACGCCCAACAAGTCACCACGGCGTTAAATGAAACATGTAAAATCATTACCGGTTGTATGAAGCCTACTCCTCTACACCTACTGTACCGGGTAGCTGGATTCGCATTACCAGACGACCGTAGATGTGCCTTACAATATGTGGAGAAGTTCAGGCAAACTTTCGATGAACGGCACCAATTATACGGGTTTGACGAACCGCCAGGAATCAGCCGACTTAAATCAAGGAAAAGGTTTATGAGAAATGTCAGCGTCGAACCACCCGAAGTGTTCCCCCTACATCCAGAACGACCTAATGGAATGAACCTGGACTGGAGAACCTGGCGGACACTCAACCGCATGCGCACAGGTGTTGCCCCTGTAAAACAGAACCTCATTAAATGGGGCATCAAGACAGATAGCGAGGCACTCTGTGAATGTGGGGAAATACAGAACGTGGAGCACCTGAGAGTATGCAGACTTTGCCCATCACAATGTACCCTCGATGATTTATGGCTCGCAAATACAAAGGCTGTAGACGTAGCCCGATATTGGGCAGAAAAACTGTAGTCGGATCCAGACTCGAAAAAGTAAAGTAAGCCACCTAAATAAGCCTAATAAAAACTTATCCTGTACCGCATAGAGAAAGCGGTTGACGAAAGTTCTAGCTCTGACGAAACACATCGAGAACGGATTTAAAGAAAAAAAGATAACAGGCCTAGCACTCGTCGCCCTAAGCGCCGCGTACCACACCGTTAACTACAGAAACCTGCCACAGAAAGGCCATCTTAAGGACTATCAACTCCTCAAAATAGTGGAATCATGACTGTCAAATAAACGATTCTATGTGAGCCTTGAGGCGACAAAAAGTAGCTGGCGAACCCAAACAAAAAGCTTGGCTAAGGGTAGTGTACTAGCACTATACTTTTCAACCTATACAACGATCATCAACCAAAGCCAACTTTTACAAGAAACTTATATGCAGATGACTAAGGCGTCACAGCCCAAGGTTCAAACTTTGATTTGATGAAACCAAATCCAACCAAAATTCAGGTCTTGGTTGATTGAAGGAAACTCATTATCACCTGGAACAGCACCTTCTGCAACTAATATAGCGTATTTAAAAATAACTGAGTACTCACCTCCTGTTATGCTCAGGCTTTGCAGTAGGATTCGGAATAGGACTCGCTGTAGTTGTAACATTCGGAGCGGCAGTGGTAGTAGTTGTGGTTGTAGTACTTGTGGTTGTAGTACTTGTGGTTGGGGTAGTCGGTTTTGGTGTAATTGGGGTTGTGGTATCTGGTTTTATTGTAGTTGTGGTTGTGGTAGTTGTTTTTGCTGTAGTTGTGGTAGTTTGGGTTGTTGTCTTTGGGGTTGTGGTTGTACTGCTTGTTGTGATTGTTGGTTGTGGTCCTATTGAAGGTGGCCCTAAAAAAACTACATTAATATAATCCATAAATAACTTATGACCGTTATGACTTAATAAGCTAACTTATAGCTAAATGAATCGGCTATTAACGGCAATCTTGCCGTAGACGAAGTGGTCATCGATGGCATTGTCGTTTGAAGTGTTTATCATTGTTGTTTTTTATATAATATTTTATAATCTTACAGTATTTACGATACAATACCTGAAGAGTTTGTTTTTCTTTATAATAATATCAAAATATATCAATTTAATACCACCTAGGAATTTTAGTTCAGAAAATTCGTGAACCGATGTTATAGTCTTTTGTAAAGAGATGATGTTGATTTATGTGGATATAAGCCTAGGTTAGGCTAGAACTCAAAACTTGCTAACATATGTATTTATTTAACAATTTACTGTACAAGTCTCTCTTGTATCAGTATGGACATTTATATAAGGCAAACTTTTTCAGCAATTCACCAAAACTATTGAGATTATTCTAGGAATACAATATCATTCTACCAGAGATCTACCAGTATTTGTTACATCTTACAGTGAAGGGGTGTTATTGGACCCTAATAATTAAACATAGTACATATATTGACAGAGTGTATAAAATCAACCTAGTAAGTATAATCTTATAATAGAATTATATTCCGTTTAATATGAGTTTATGTTTGTGTTTTCATTATTTATTATAATTAACTGTGTCTATTCAAGGAAGGTCCCTCACTGATGTGTCATTCATAATTGTTTAATCGTTTATCATTACGTGTCGAACTTTCGACATCCTCTTTGATGTCTTCTTCAGGGCTTCCAAAGTCTCAGTCTCCCGAGCCCCCAAACACAACTACACTGATCACTAATCAATGAATTACTGCTACTGGGAACAGAGGAAGGTTCATTTATACCGTCGATGGTGACGTGGTTCGGGTGGAGGTTGGTGTGGGGGTTAGCGTGGGGATTGGCGCAAGGGGTAGCTCGAACATTTCTGACAGTAGGATTTTGATTGGCGGGTGGAACGGACGATATTTTCTTTACGAGAGGTCTCCATGTCGAAGATAACCATATGTCGTCATCACTTTTATTGAAACAATTTGGCCTTTTTTCAATTTCTATGGCTTCTCGGATAATTCTTGGTTTATAGAAGCGGATGGGGGGTATGGTTATGGATTTTTCAAAATGAATTTTGTGACCTGTATGAAGATGGTGTTGACCTAGAGCTGAATTGAACGGAAATTGCGAACAGAAATGGAATGTTCATTAATCCTATTTTGGATGATACGATTTGTTTGACCTATATAGGATCGGGGGGCAGTCTGCACAAGAAATTTCACAAAGTCCATATTAGTTATTTGGATTATTGGCTTTGATTAATATGATAAGAGATGAAAGTTTTTGTTGGGGGGTAAATATTGTCTTTATTCCTCTTGATTTAAGAATTTTATCGATATTGTCAGTGACACCTTTGATGTAGAAGAGCTGTCAGAGGTGAGCGTCAAAAATTAAAATTTATGATATTAGTAATTAAACATAATCCACCAACAAACTTTAGATTTTTTAATTTATATATAAAATGTGTTATTGCCAACTTTTATATCAATTAAAATTCATAAAGGATGTATAAAAAGTTTGATTTTTGCTCCAAATAATATATTATTCTGAATTATACCTATTAATTAATATTCAATTAACCGCTAATTGGTGCAAAATATTTTTCGTTAATTTGTTTTTTGCTAATATAAATAAATTTAATATTTAAATTTTTAAGTGAGCATGCAACATATAGGTATTTGACAACATCGTGTGGTGGCATATCTGATATATCCAGAGAATTTAAAAATTCTATTGGATAATTTACTGCTCATAAGATCAGGATTTGAAAGAGATCAGATCACCTGATAACCTCTGTTGAATTTGGAAGTTAATTTTATCAATAACGACATTTTTCGTCGTCAAAATTGCGTACTCACTGAGCCAATTATTATTCAAATATTTATTCAGTATAGCCGGCAAGACACTTAAAATTAATTCATGTTTGGTCTCAACAAAAGTGCAGAATTTATCTGAAAGTTAGATGCATTGAGCATTTGGATGCAGTTTTATTTTTCCGTTTCCAATATCCAGCAAATGTTTGGAAAATATTTACGATAAATCATTTTGCACTTGTGCTCTTACGTTAATGATCAATCGAACTGTTTCGACATTTCGACATAAAAAGATTGTTTTAAGCATGCATTAACCTCATTCGCATACGTACAGAGAGGAACAACCGGTAATGCATGTCGGAAGTCATCAGATAGTGGTAAGACAGAAGCACCAAATAGTTTGTCTTTGCCGTTTAAATCTTGCATACGTCTATGTAATGCGTCAAGTGAATGTTTATGAGTCATAGTACATTCATCCCAGATAATAACTGAATTCGTTTGCATCAGTGCAACCATTCTACTTCTTTTTTTAATGTTACACATTGCATTTGGTTTGCAATGAACGTCTAATGGCAGCTTAGGTATTGAATATGCTGTTCGCCCACCATCTAACAATTTTCTGAATCACCAGTAATAAGTAATTTTAAAGGTTCTGGTAGAGTTGTAAGAAATGGTAACTCAACTTTTCCTGGTGCGCAACAGATGACAAGTGCTTCATTGTGAAACCTCAATGCCTAACAATACTGGCATACTGTGTCTATTGCACCAATAGCAATTTTAAAATGCGCAGAATAATTAATGTCTGGAACATATTCATATGTAAGACGAACAAATAATATAGGAAAATGTGCGGTTAATTTGCTGTCTTTCTCGTTCTTGTATTCTGGAAGAAGCTATATACTGCTCACTTGCAGCTCTAGTTCTTAATATATTCTGTCGTACACTTTGGTCACGACGTGTATGAGATTCTTGTGAACGGACCTCTTTTAACCTCATTCCTTTGATCTTCATTTATTTGAGTAGTTTGTTCGCACGATCTATTAGCCCTTGCAATTCGTTTACGTCTTGCGGCTTGGCTACATGCATTGTTGAGGTTTGATTTTCTTCGGGGCACTTACAAAAAATGATAATTGATATGCTTTTTAAAACAACTTAAAAATAATTGAATAAAGTCAAGATCAAACTCAGAAATTCAAAGAATAGCATAGGGTAAAAATTAAAAGAAAACGAAGCTTTCTTTTCACTCGTCCATGTGTTCTGCTCCAAAAACACACACTGGAGATCGAAAATCAGCCTCTACAAAAGTATTATCAGACCGATAGTATGTTATGGATGCGAGATACGGGTGATGACAGAAGATATAAATAAAGGAAAGTCGTCGAAAGAAAAGACTTAAGGAAAATATTGGAACCTATTAACGGAAACGGAGTATCGAGATTCAGGTAAAACCATGAACTCTACCAATTGTTCAAAGAGGCACCGATCTCAGAATTTGTTATAACTTCAGAGACTTCGATCGGCTGGTCATGTAGTGTAAATGAAGACCGAAAGATTGCCAAAAAGAGCCCTAGATCCTAGATAGTAAAATGGATAGTAAGAACCTGGAAGAACTGAACAAGAATTACATCATAGAAAAGCTGGACAACAGGCAGTCTGAGACGCAGTAGAGAAAGCAAACTTAAACTCAGATGTGCATACAATAAGTTTTGATCTACAGCAAATTCTTCCCACACCAAAGATTACCACTGGTCTCAAGGTCTATAAGAGAAAACTGTGGTGCTATAATTTAAGCATACATTCCCTTGGAGATGGTTGGGGTCACTTTTTTATGTTGGATGAATCCGCTGCTAAAAAAGGGTAGGACAGAAAAATAATATTCGTGGCAGAAAACTAATAGCTATTTCAGACAATTACTGCGGACAAAATAAAAACTGGACCATTATTAGTCTGCAGCTTTATCTTTTACAAAATGACTATTTTAAAGAAATAGTTCATATATTTCCTCAGGTAGAACATATCATGTTGCCAAGCGACAGAGACTTTTTGTTGTAGAAAATTATGCCAAGAAAGACTGTGAAATGGTCTATTCGCCCAATCAATGGAAAGATATTTTGAAAAAGTGTCAGAAAACGAAACCTTTTCTGGTAACTAGGGTCCAGCAAGAGGATATATACGATTGTTCAGTCCTGAAAAGCTATTTTAATCAGCTGGTAGGTATTTTACAAAGTAGAGTGAAATTATGCCTATCTTCAGAAGTTCCCAAATATATACAATATTCAGCATCATACAATGGATTATTTAATTGCATGTCCTTGATAAAAGAGGAAGACCAACAGCTGCAGAAGAAAAATTCCCTACACTTACTCAAAAATATAATCATCCACTTAGTATTCATACAGAAAAACTGAATAATCATTCTTGGAATGGATTCCAGCTGTTTCTCACGAATGGTATATAAATTTAAAATAAACTATGAGTGCCTACCAAAATATGTTAAGTCAACAGCACTAACTTTTTCAAATATTTTAGGTAAATAATGTTAAGTTGTAGTACATATTTTCCTCATATTCCTCATAGTTTCCTCAATAAACATTGTAAAAAAATATTTGGTATTTCATATTGTGCCTACTGATTAACAACATAATCAGCTAATTTTAGCATGATTCATAGTCTTATATTTTTTAATAAAAAATAGTACATTTTTTCAAAATTCAAAACTCGAATCTTCTTTATTGTCCCTTACCATTTTTTACTGCCGGACCCATAATTTTTTATTGTTGGAAAATATTATTTTCCAATAAATAATACAATAAAATGGAGATATGTGAAAGAAAAGATGATAGCTTTAACATACAGAGAAAAATGGAAGAAATATAATGGATTATGGAATTCCTCGATTCTAACAGACACGCAGACAGACAGACAGGTCAGAGTAGACAAACGTAGCAGAAAAAGACCACCTACACGATGGGCTGACGACATGGCAACAAAGAGCACAAAATCGCGTAAAATGGAGGAGCTTAAGGGAGCCCTATGTCCAGCAGTGGACGTGATAAATGAAAGCTGGATGATTATGATGATGATCACCAGGTCAGAAGAAGTTCGTAAGAAGATCATACATGGAGGACCATAAATTTTATATTCAGAAGTAGCTTATGTAATAAGCTACTTCTGAATATAAAAACTAAAAGAAGAAAAGCTATAGAGTCCGAAGAACTACCTATAGAGTGAAGCTAGTTAATGATGAATCACTAGACATATTAGTCCAAATATATAACCAATTATATTCTAAAGGCATACTACCTAAGGCTGTTTTATCGGTGCACCAAAATTTTTTCTCTGTTATTTACCGACGAAATGTTTCGAAATTTGGACATGTTATACGAAATTATGTTGCCTTTAAACTGATGGTTTTACTTTTTTTATTTTTTTGAATTTTCTGTTGAAAAATTGGATTATACTGTTTAACGTTCTATTATAACCAAACTTTTCACGCCCATCAGTTGAAAGAGTTTTTTTTTCTGTAATCGTTGATTCTTTTTTCTTCTTTCTGTGTCCAGTAATAATCGAGAAAAGCGTATTCAAACTTTGAAGAAAATTGCTAAAAAATACTGAAATCTAATAGTGAAACGTGTTCCTCATCATTGTCGCTGAGCTTGATCGTTATCGCATTAGTGACGTCAAATCTCATGAACGTACGGTACGGTCTTATTTTTATTTCTCTATGGGTACGGTCAGTTAGTTCGCTTGAATTAGAATCCATTTTAGTTCTTTCATTCTTGTATTTTTTTTATCAACTTGCTTAGTTTTTACAGTTTACAGTATTCTTATTTATTTTGAAAACATTGAAATTATTTAGTTTACGTGTATGTTAAGTAATATATTATTAGTTTAGTGGTATAAGTTAAAAGTTCTTTAGTTTACGCGTATTTTTAAGTATTACATTAGGTTAGTGATATAAGTTATAAGAGACAAGATAAACAATGAGTCCCAGTAAACGTCCTATGTCAAGGAAAACGAGAGCAATTGCACTGCAGTAAGTATTTATTATTTATATTACAACCGTTTTTAAAAGCTTTTATTTAACTTATATATATCTATATATATATATATATATATATATATATATATATATATATATATATATATTTATATTATATATATATATATATATATATATATATATATTTATATATATATATATATATATATTTATATATTATATATATATATATATATATATATTTATATATATATATATATATATATATATATATATATATATATATATATATATATATATGACATTCGAAATGCCAGTTTTTTGTATGTGTCAACAAATAATCTTTAATAAATAGTTTGGAGATATCCTTATGTGTACAATTATTGTAATTATTGAACCTCTTAACTTATTTTCGTCTAGTAATTTCATTACAGAATGCATACAAATCCCATTTAACTTTAACAAGAATTCAAATTCTACTCTCCAATGACAGCATGCGCGAACACGACCGATTTTGTAATACGGGAAGAGCCTATCTTGTTATTCATAGTATCATGGTTCATTCCATCAAGAATTAGCAGAAACATCTACTTTACCTAGTTGTAGTGTCGATTCGTAAGTAACCCTTTTCACTTTTTTTTTATTTACTTACCGTAAAGTAAGTAAATAGAGGGTTCATGACCTTACATATTATTTGTTTATGGTCAAAATATTACCAATGTTTTACTCTTAAATAATAATAATAACAAATAATATCATTTGCAGAAAATACTTTAAGTTGTATCGTTATTTCTAGTAATAGCTGTCCTTCTTAGTCAGTTGAGATTGCCTCTCCACAAAAACCATCTTTTTCGGTAGAAGGCAGAAGAATAGTGGACATAAACTTTTTCATTAAATCTATTCAAGCTTTGAATAATCATTCTCCATTTTCATGCAACTTTTCTAATATGGAGACTATCAAAGAAAAAATGGACGGATTAATAAGTACATTGACTTTTAAATGTCAAATGTGGAATATTGAAAAGGAGATAGCAACATAGGATTCTGGTAACAATTCACTGAACTTAAATGGTTCTGGTTATTCAGACATACAGCAGCAGCACGCTGCATTAAATATACCTGTGATGTCCTACAAACAGTATGCAAAACATACGGAAACAGTTGCAGATATCATCGGCCAAACACTTTGTGATTCCTTAGAAGAGGCTGGACGGGAGGAATTAGCTTTAGCCAAAGAAATTGGTGAAGTAGATTCCGACGGAAATGGGTTAATAATCGTTATAGCTGATGGTGCTTGGTCAAAAAGATCGTATAAAGTAAACTATGATGCTTCTTCAGGTGTAGTACCTGACGTTGTAAAATTTATTAAATTAGTACGCCTTTGATGGATAGGACATGTAATTAGGCGAGATGAAGATGAAACGATCAGAAAAATTTTCGACCGAAGAGGACCAGTGGGAAAACGATCCAGAGGAAGACCAAAACTTAGGTATCAAGATAACATAGAGGATGATCTAAAATCCATCGGAGTTAAAGCATGGAGAAAGTTGCCTGAGGCAGGGGCGAATGGAAGATTGTTCTGAAGAAGCCTTTGGCTCATGACGA